TGACAGCCTGGCAGGAGCCCACTTCCATATGTAAATAGGGCATCCCACAAAGTACCTATCAGCTAAGGCTTTTACCACTACCCCCACAGTATAAAGTATCCTGGTTTTCCCTCAATAATCGAAGCTGGATCACTAAGGCCTGGAGCCGAGCTGAGTCACAGAATAAAGGGGCTGTACCACTGACTGAGCTGAGTTCTGTGTCTTACTGCCTACGATCCAGCCTTCCCAGAGAGGGCTGTCTCTTCGTAAACCGTGACTCATGGAAATCCAGCTTTCGCCATCTCCGCACCTTCCCATGCGATCCGGCAACTGACAGATCTCGTATCTCGAGGAAGTGCACGGTGGATTGGGATGGAACCCGACCGGGCCAGCCCCGGTAGCAGAGAGACTCAACAACGTGGAGAAGCAGGGACCCACCAGCGGCGGAGAGCCAGGGACCCAAACGGCAGACGCGGTGCGGGACGCGCCGCACCCCAGGTGTGTGCAGGAGACCGGCGCCACGCTCAGCAGCTGGCGCTCCAAGATCCCTGCGCCCCCATAGTCTTATTGCTCTTGCAAGAGTTTCAAGCACTATGTTAAAGAGAAGTGGAGATAGTAGACAGCCTTGTCTGGTTCCTGATTTCAAAGGGAATGCTTCCAGTTTTTCTCCATTTAGAATGATGTTGTCTGTGGGTTTGATATATATGGCTTTAATTATGTTGAGGTATGTTCCCTCCAGTCCAATTCCCTCTAGGACTTTGAACAAAAATGCATATTGAATTTTGTCAAATGCCTTATCTGCATTTATTGAAATGACCATGTGGTTCTTGTCTTTAAGCCCATTTATATGATTTTTGACATTTATTGGCTTACTTATATTGAACCATCCCTGCATCTCTGGGATAAAGCGGACTTGATCATGGTGGATGATTGTCTTCATGTGTGTTTGTATGTGGTTTGCAAGTATCTTGTTGAGAATTTTTGCATCTATGTTCATTAAGGATATGGGTCTATAGTTTTCTTTTTTGGTTGTATCTTTATCTGGCTTTGGTATTAGACTCATGCTGGCTTCATAGAAGGAATTTGGAAGTTCTCCCTCCATTTCTATCTTTTTGAATAAATTAAGTAGTATTGGATGTAGATCTTCTTTAAATGTCTGATAGAATTCGGTATGTGAGTCCATCCATATTGTGCAATGCTGCAGAGGTCAGAAGAGGGCTTTGGATATCCCTGGAACTGGAGTTAAGGACGGTTCATAGCTGCATGTGGGGGCTGGAGTTTGAACATGGGTCCTCTGTAAGAACTCAGTGCTTTTAACTGCTGAGCCATCTCTCCAGCCCCGTGCATAGGTTTCTAAAGTATTCTCTTATAATGTTCTGTATCTTTTTGGTGTCTGTTGTGATGTTTCCCCTTTCATCTCTGATTTTGTTGATTTGGAGGTGCTCTTTCTTTCTTTTGGTTAACTGGGCTAGCCGTCTGTCAATCTTGTTTATCTTTTCGAAGAACCAGCTCTTGGATTCATTGGTTCTTTGTGTTGTTTTCTTTGTTTCAATTTCATTAATTTCTGCCCTGATTTTTGTTATTCCTCATTGTCTTCTGGGTTTGTTATATATGGCTTTAATTATGTTGAGGTATGTTCCCTCCAGTCCAATT